TATTGTGATCCTTAGGGACGCCAGGGGTCTTGTAGGGATGGATATTGACCCCTAGAGGCTCCAGGGTCATCTGGGATTGGATGCAGGGTTATGTAGAGTGGGATAGCGACCTTCAGAGATTTGAACAAAATCATGGGCATTGAAGACTCAGACCTAACCTTCAGGGTTATGTTGACCGGGGCTTGTGTCAACCGTTGGTGTGTAACAACTGATGAGGTGCAGTCACACACTACATGATGTTTTTTTGGAGGGACGCAATTGACAGGGTTTAGGGGTATATGAGTAAACCTCCACGACTACCGCCTGAAAGATCGGGCCAACCCGTGCAGGCAGAGAAAAAAAACTGTGCTGGTGTCTGATTCTTAATCTAATGGAACGACCGAAAAGTTCAGCCCTCCTGTTAACCAATACCGTAGTACAACCTGTTAATGGTCTTATAGGTTCGAGGAGGATGATTGGTGGGCCTACTAGGAGAAGATGGGGATACTGGCGTTGGGTTTCAGAAGGTCGTAAAATGTATTATTATTGGTTTAACAGGCTGAGGAGGAGGATTGTGTGGCCTGTTAGGAGGTGATGGGTTTAGGGGGGAGGACAGGTGTAGAGGTGATGAGGTTTTGGAAGGTGTAGAGGTGTAATGATGTATAGTTGAAGGGACATGGGTGATGATAGGAGGAGCATGACATCAATTTTGATTGGCTGCTTTTGCATCCAAAGCACGGCCTCTCACTCAACTCACTGCTTTCCAACTTGAGTAATGAATAACCTCATGCATGATGGATGACTCCAATCAGGAAGTCGCTCGATAAGAGGAGCATGAATGATTGGTCACCAATGGTCAAGGGGAATCAGCGGTTTGGAAAACAGGACTGATGCGGAGGGAAACTGCTTGTTTGGTGATGAATGGTGGCTAGTCCTGGAGACACATAGATATGTTGAGGTGGGTTGAGATGGGTTGGTAATGAGTTATGAGAAGGGTGGAGTTGGGGAGAACGATCTGGTCGGGAAGCAGGTTGACAAGGGTCGGTCCTTGAAACGTAGAAGACTTGGGGCATACTCACACTGGGACTCTGCAGGAAGTATCTGGCTTCTAGTTCAAACAGTTTTTTAAAACTTGGATCGGTCGTTGACATGTAGAATTCCTTGTCTGAGTGTGCGCACTATGAAAATCAATTGAGCACTATCATGTCATATTGCTATATAAGCCACAATGAACTTCTACTGTCTCTATTTTTCAGAGAATTTGTGTTGCTTTTTAGGTACTATGCAGAACTACTGTACAGAAACTAGTTTTTTATCCCTATTTGTATGGTGCGGTGTCTCACAACCAATTTCGATGGGCTTTCAATGAAATGCAGTGATGGGTTGCACTGGTCACCTATGTGACTTCACTAGTTGGTGGTTAAGGTCAACTTAGTTATGGGATAAGTATCGATGTTTAGCTGATGCAGGAATGATTGCCGGTTATTAATAATGGGTTACACTGAAGATTGCTGCATGGGCTGAGGTGATGAAAGGACCGATTATTAAATGTAAATGCGCAGGAGGGATTGGCGCTGACTGAGGTTACCGTGGCGTGTTGTTGCGATGACAAGCAATTAGGATGGGTGGATAAGCAGGACAGACCGATAATGTGTTGAGAAGGGTTGAGGAAGACGAGCTGGGTCTGGATTGCAGTTGGTTGATATATCTGTGTCGAGGGGGATAAGTATGGCTGTGTGCCCCTGCCCTTCCCTGAGGGATGGCCATTAAAGGGCAGCCAATAGCTGCAGGCACAACTGGATTGTCCTACGAGAATGATAGTGCATGTTGGGTCATGAAGAAATGGGAATGATGCGGACAATGAGTGAACGCGAAGGCAGTGAAGTGTAGGTAAGCATGATTGTGTGCTGGTGCCCTTCGCAAGGTACCCTGAGTGGTGATTACGATTGTGGTGGTAGTGAAGATGATGATGATGATGGTGATGATGAGCAAGGTGGTGATGATGATGATGACGACGAGTATGGTGGTGGTGGTGCTTATGGTGATGATGATGATGATGATGACTGAAAGATGGTGTCCATGGGCGGGAGCGTTTTGGCTTTCCTGACTGGTAAGATGGTGCTGTGCGCTGGTTATGACATCTTGATTAATGGCAGGACCGGGCGAATGAGATTTACAAGAAGGTGGAAGATTTGAAGTCCATTCGAGGAAGGAGCCAGGATGCGATTCTGGCGGCATGCCTCTACATTGCGTGCAGGCAGGAAGACAGGCCCCGAACATTTAAAGGTGGACGTGGTGGGCTGTGTAGGAAGAGGTCAAAAACAACCGGATTTTTCTTCCTTCAGAAAGCACAAAAAAAGCAAACTGTTTAAATCATTGTAAGAAAAGCAAGCATGCCTGCCTGTCTTCACGCAGCAGGGGGAGCAGTACCGGAAGGGGAAGCAGTGAGAGAGAGGGATTGGATGTTTTTGTGGCAGAGATACTGTCTGATCCAGTTTGGATGGTGAGGTTAATTCTTTTGTGCCTCAATCCAGGGGTTCAAGTTAGTGGGCAGGGTTTTTTGTTTTGTTTTGTTTTCTGATTTGTTCTTGTTGTTCTCCCTATGCATTCTTTCTTTTTCTTTTTGTTTTTCCTGTTCCCCCTACTGGCAACCTCTGTTTTCTGCTTCTCCTCCTTTCCTCCCCCTCCTCCCCCCCCCCGGGTCCCGGGTCCTCCCGGTGTTCACCATGCCACAACATTCCGTACTTCTAAACCAATGCACACATGGTCATCATCTACTGCAGTTCTTTGTCGTAAATCAGCATCAACTTGTGTTGTGCAACAGCAAAATGAAGTGCCCCGGATACTTCCTTCCTGCAGTCCGTCAGGATGCATATTCCACGTGGACAGCTCCATCAAAGGTAGATTCTTGGCAAGTCTAGCAACCGCATGGGTGAGAGGCTTGACAGTGCCAACATTGACGGAGTAAAAGTGGTTACCACAGGGCCGATGTCAGGTTCAACATGCTGCAGTGAAAAGTCGATGACCTCCTGTAGGCCATGACCTAGATAAGTTCACTAGTCTGGGGCCAGGCAAAAGAGCTTGGTGGTCTAAACCACCAGTACCTAGTGCGTTTTTAGGCGTTAAAGCAGTGGATGAATCGGCCTACCGCTGAGGTCTGTAGTCATTTGTGTCAGAGGGGGCCTAAGAACCCAGGAGGTACTGTTGGTTAAGCCCTCTTGCTCTGCAGTTCAAAACACAGTTCATGCTGTGCTAAGTACAGTTGCTAGCAAGTAGGCATGAACATGACTCGATTACATTACCTGTTGCTCTTGACCTTGTTTATAGCATCGGTTGGGCTCTTGTCAGCCTTGCAACCAGTGCGTGTGTGAGGTTTTAGCTTTGCTGTACGCAAGTCATTGATAGTCACCCGGGACCGCATTGGTTAGGCATGCCCAACCACCTCGGCACAAACATGCGGTGTTCCCTGCTTCGACCATGTTGCTGGAAGAGCCTGGAAGACTCACGAATATTTCCGATTTTCATGAGCAAGGTGGATGTAACCAACTGGCGCGTGGCAACTGTCTGGCGCCCGGCAAGATTTGCAAAAAAAATGGTGAGTTCAGGGCTCAATGAGGTTCCGGGGGCCCGCCTGCACTTAGGGCGGGCACGGGTCTGCTGCATGGGCCTTATGCGGTGTAAAATCCTCGCCCTCCCTCCTCCTTTACTTCGATAGTCCCCTGAGAAGTCCTTGTACAGCAGGCTGCTTCCCTTTCAGATTTCTTTCATAGCTTGAGATAATCTGAGGAGCAGTCTTCATTAACTCTTCTCTTGTGAACCGCCGGTCTACTTTAGGATCAGTATGGTATCTGAACCGCACTTGATTCTGCATCTGCGATTTCGGAGGGCGTCCCCTGCCTGGACACTTGGGCACAGGCATCAGCTTGTGGTCAACAAATTTGTCAATGTCCACGTGTCCGTCCGTGGTCGGGGGCAGCATTCATCTTCTTGAGGGAAACTGATCAGTTTCAGCGAAAGGAGCCAACTTGGATGCGTGGAAAACAGCGTGTTTACGAAGGTGACCAGGGATGCGAATGACATGATGGCCCATCTGGTTGATCTTCTACTATGTCCAAAATTTCCCAAGGTCCAAAGTACTGTGGCATCAGTTTACGAGAGATTCTCAACTCCTGTCCCAACTCAGATGATTTAACCCAAACTCGTTCACCTACCTGAAATGCTGATGGACGTTTGTGTCTGTTCTCAGACGCAACCATGGCATTCTGAGCCTTTGTGATGTGCTCGACAGCCTTCTGCAGCAGCTGTTCATACTTGACAGCAAACTCTATGCTGCCTGCTGCTGCAGTTGGTTGATTTTCGAGTAGCAGGAAGTCAAGAGCAGATCTTGGCTTCCAACTGAGATGCAGTTGGTTGGGAGTCATGCTGGTGGTGCTATGGACAGCGTTATTGTACAGGCTGGCGATGAGAGGTAACTTGTCATCACAGTCATCCTGACTTGGTTTAATATAATGCGGAAGCAAGCGCTGCACTATTCTGTTCACCTGGTTGGCCTGCCCATTTGATGTCATTTGCAGTCTGGGCCCCATTTGTTGGGCCGTACTTTGCCATAGTTCGCTTGTGAATCTGACATCCCTGTCACTAACGATGGACTTCGGGAGGCCGAAGTCACGTACCCAGTTGTCCATGAATAGCTTGATGACATGGTCAGTCCTAGCCGTCTCAGGCATAGCGATTAGTCTGTCATACTTACTAAACCTGTCAACAATGATGAAGATGCAACGTTTGCCGCTCTTGCTGGTCACGAGAGTATCCATGAAGTCCATGGACACGCTCTGACCAGGACCAGCAGGGATAGGCAAGGGCTTAATAAGCCCAAGTGGTGCCTGCGTCCGCGGCTTGTCCCCTTGACAAATCTGGCAAGTCTCTACGTATTTCTTTGCATCATCCAAAACGCTGCACGAAATTTGGTGCTGTCTTTTTATAACCGAAATGTCCGGTTGCATCGTGACTCTCCTAAAAATAAGCTATGCGAAGACTCTCTATACGAAATACATAACCGTTTATTCCCGCCCTTCTCAAGGAATAGCAAGCCATCGAACAACACAAACTCGTCTGTTGTGGCCTTATCTTTACCCTCAAGAATCCTTTCGATAGGCTTCCACCATAGACCGAGGTACATCATCAAAAATCCCAAACTCAGTCCCTAGCGCGCCTAGATAGTTTGCCCTACGCGATAGTGCATCAGCCACTTTGTTGTACTCTCCCTTCAGAGGGTCGAGCTTGAAGTCATACATGTCTATCACTTCAATTCACCGCTGAAGTGCATCGGAGAGCACAAGATGTATCTTAATCCAGCGCAGGGTCTCATGGTCAGATCCCACATAAAAGAATCTACCTTGGAGGTAGTGCCTCCAATGGACTAGTGATCTATAGAGGGCATAGAGCTTTCACACATACGTGGACTTGGCCAGTTTTTGAGATGGCATCGTTTGCTCATGTACTCGACATGCCTCAACTCTCCCCCCTCCTTTTGCGTAAGGACAACGCCTATGCCATATTGGCTGGCGTCTGTGGTCACTACGAACGACAGTTCAGGATCCGGAAGTTTGAGGACTTCGTAGTCCGTAAGGTCATTCTTTAATCTCTTGAAGGCTGCCTCGCTCTCTTTAGTCCACACCCATGTGGTGTCAAGGCGCATGAGGTCGGTTAGAGGGGAAACTATAGTGCTATACTTCTTCATAAACGGGCGGTAGCAGCACGTCATCCCCAAGATTGACCTCACCTCAGTCACAGATTGTGGTTTGGGCTAGTCACCTATGCTGGCCACTTTTGCATCATCCGACCTCAGACCATCCACAGAAATCTCGTGATCTAAGATCTTTGTGCGACCGAATTCACATTTTTCCAAGTTAACCTTATACTGGTGCTGTCTTAGGAGCCCTACCGTCTTCACCTGAATAGAACGCTTGATAATTATAGTTGTATTTGGCACAACTTTCCAGATGCGGCGATAATGATCGGGCGTTCTATTCAGGTGAAGATGGTAGCACAATTTTCACGTGCTCAACATGCTCCTTTACAATCCTACTAAAGGTAAGGATATTGTCGAGGTACACGACGATACACTCGTCTAAGTAGTCATGAAAGATCCGGTTCATTGCGTACTGCAATGTCCCAGGAGCATTGCATAGACCAAATGGCATCACCACAAACTCGTACAGACTGTACTTGGATTGGAAAGCGGTTTTGTGCTAATTGCAATCTGATAGTATTCGGACTTCATATCTATCTTGGTGAAGTACCAACATCCTTGCACTTTATCCAAAAGGTCGTCTATGCGTGGTAGGGGCTCCACGTTCTTAACGGTGATGGCATTAAGGCCCCCATAGTCAATGCACATTCTTAGGGTCCCCTTTTCTTAGGGGGACATACTTGGTCGGATCCGACCCTTCTCTATGTGCTCCTTGAGTTAGCAGCGGAGCTCATCTAACTCCTTAGGAGACATCTTGCATATTCGCCCTCTAGGTACCTAGCTACTCGGAATGACTTCAATCATGCGGTCAATCTCCCTTTCTACCACACTCCAAGCTCTGCAAAGAGGTTTGAATATTGTGCGACGACTGCTTCTATCTCTGGGGGTGATTTTACGGCCTCCCCTTTCTCAGAGACAGACTTGGTACGTACCTTCCTCGGGATTCTGCTTGTAGTAATTAAAGAAAGATAACGTACACATGCAACCATAGTTTTCCAGTAGTTTGCTAACCTTGAACTTTTGCAACCTAACGGTCCTTTCGTTTGACAACTTGTGGATCAATCGAACTGCGGCTAGCAATATGTCAACTGGCAATTTGTCACTTACTAGGAACGAGATCTTGTGTCTCATTTCCCCTCCTGCATAGGAGAAGGTACAAACTATGTCCTTGACATAGTTTTTGACTATTATGGAGTGCTTGTTGGCTTAGGTAGATGCTACAAACCTGCTAAGCTGTTGCACTTGGTCCCTTAAGCGCAGCCTATCCACACAAGCACGACTGATTAAATTTCGCGTAGAACCTATGTTTGCGAAGGCACCGACCTTTCAGCCACCTACATTGAGTTCTACCACAAAATGTTCACCCTTTGGACCTTTGTTCAACATCGCCCAGGAGTCTCGAGGATCTTTTTTAACCACTCAGTTTCTAACTCCTCTAAGGACTCGTATGCATCCATCGAGTAGAGTATCGATTGGTCTGGATCTGTCTACGAGGCGGTCACGCGGTCAATAGCCTTGGCCATCGTCTGAAGTG